CTCTCAGGGACTGGACATCACTCACTGCATTGCAAATCAAAAGGACAAAAATGAGCCCATCATCTCTGTGCCAGCAACATTTCAGGGTCTTTTAACTTGACTTTCAGTGAACATCTTACCCCTGATCATTTTGAGGAACGGGTTCATTTCCTGTAAGAAATAAGAAAAAGAAAGACAGTACAATAAGTTATGAATGATGACAACTTAACTTCCTTTATTTTCTCCCAAAGCATGTCATTTTATAAGGAATTACACTAAAACCCCTAACATCAATTGAAATTATGATGTTTCAATATTGCTATTAACATGCATCTAAAAACTAGAGGGAGTCATAGAGGACCCAAAAGTGGCAGAGGCACAGCTATATATTCACCTGAGCAATTTATACAATCATGACACTGCCTTGTGTTTGTGTCTAGTAGTATTGATTAATTTAAATTATTTTTATTACAGAGTAGAGACGTACCAGCTGTCTCCACAGGCGGTCCCTCCTGTAGCGGGGTCTCAGATTGGACGGACACTGAAACAGGAAGTTCAGCAAACAGTTAACAGGGACATAACTGAAAAATCACAATTAAATATCAAGCCTCCACAATTTTTGGTAATCTTGAGCTACAGAGCTGGCACAATCAGAGGAGACGCACCAGCTGCCTCCCCAGGGGGTCCCTCCTGCCGTGGAGCTTCAGATTGTACGGACACTGAAACAGGAAGGTTAGCTCAGTTAACAGGTACATGGCTGTGAAATAAAAATTCAACCTCAAACACCCAAACTGTCTGCTCATCACTAACTACAGACAGCAGACAATTAGCAGTTGCACATTTTAAGAGGCAGCAAAGACTCGAAAATGATATATTTTAATAATTTAATTTGATTGTGATTAGGTATGTAATTTCAGTACGGCAATATTTGACTTCTAGTCTAGAGTCTAGAGTTGGTTATTAAACATTAAATATTGGTATGGTGGTGTTCAATCAGGGATCAAAGAGCAATATGATCTCCAAAAAAAAAAAAAAAAACAGTAACAGTAATTCAAAGAACATTATACAAGGCATCATGGGAAAATGTTCACTGATGTCCTTTTTAATGCACTGTAAGTGCAACACACTAATTGGTTTACTCAGTTGTAACAAGCAGGGAACATTTAATACACTGATAGCAAATTTAGCCTGCATAGGAGCTTTGTAGATTGCTGGATTCAAAATTAATGGTAACAAATGTCACAAATGGTCAAACAATGGAGCCCTCCTTTGGCTGAAGACCCTCTCCATGTATCTGCCCAGCATTGGAACCTGTCCAGGCTATACCTTGGCTCCTAGAAGCAGGGTGTATCAACAGCTCAGCTCCTGTTTAACTTAGAGCTTTTCACCTGGAGAAAAGTGTAATGTACTGACATAAATCAGCGTAAGGCTAAATGTGTGGTGAAATTTTGCTCCTGCGGTTGTTTTGTGAGATAAAAGTAAGGTTTTCTTCAACGTCATTTCAAGGACTACATTACGTACACTTGTATTGTACTGGTAGTATGCTTATCTTGACATTGTCTTTAAGCTTTGACACTGATGTGTTAAATGCTATTCTGGGCAGATGCCCTTCCTCTAGCACCATTTGTATACTGCTAAAAGAGCCTTGTAAGACGCACTAGATAAGACAAAGAAGAAGCACGACAATGATGATGCTAACAAAAAGGACCTCGACTTGATCACCATGAGCTCACCTGCAAGGCCTGTGGTTTCAGGCACATTGCTGGGAGCTGGCAGGCCGGTGTCCGCCCCGGCAGGGGGGTTCTGGTCTTCAGGTGCAGAGGGCACGGTCACTGTGGTTGGGGGGCCTCCTGGGGTGTCAGCTGGTGCTGCTGGAAAAGCATGAGGTGGGGCAGGAGCCGGGACAGGGAGAGGGGAGGAGGTGGGAGGGACAGGGATGGGGGAGGGCATGGTCGGGGCTGGAGGAGGAGATGAGATGGGCGGAGTAGGATTTTTTAAAGGGGCGGGGTGCTGGTTTAGGTCCAGAGCCTCTGTCGGGCCTGCTATCAGGGGAGAGCCCTGAGGCCGTGTGCTGTCGGGTATCTGCTCTGGCTGTGATGCAGCAGCGCCCTCTGGTGGCCGGCCAGGCGAGGGGCCTTCTGTGTTCCTCAGAGGGTCTGCCACCATCACACCTGTGTTGCTAGGGAGTGTCAAGCCCGGTCGCACCTTTGGCGAGGCCGCTGCGTGGGGCAGAGGGCTCCTCTGGGTACACGGACCAGCAGCTCCTGGGCTGGGGCATGGAGGGGGTGATGCCATAGGCTGGGAGAAAGGGGACGAGGACGTCGCACAGGGGCGGGGGATGGCTGGCCGGCGGGTAGGGAAGCGGGTGTGGTCTCAGCAGGGTTGCTGCTCTCCTGCTTTGGGGTTCCTGGGCGTTGCCATGCCAGTGGGGACTGGGCACTGAGTGGCTGAGCGGGTGTGGCCTGGACAAACCCCGCCCCTATACGACCAGACTGGCTATGTGGTATGTGGGCAGGGGAGGGCTGGGTGGTCGCCATGACAGCAGGGGCTGGGGATCTGGCTGGAGTGTGAACTGGTCCCCCCACCGCTGTGAGGGGCTCTGTCACAGTGCTGGAGCTGGATGGCACAGAGGTGACAGGTGACTGAAAGACTGGACTAACAGCCATGGGGGCAGTGACGATCTGAGCAGGAAGGGTGCCAGAAGCAGCCGGAGAGGAGGTTGGCTGCCTTTCTAGGGGTTGAGTGTTTTTATTTGGAGCAGACACTGCCACGGAAACCTGGGCAGAGCCTACATGGGGCGACATCCCAGGGGAGGAGCCAACGGGGCTGGAGGTGGTGAAAACAGCCGCCTGACTGCTGGGGCTGGTGACCGTGGAGCAGGAGGAACTTTGTTTGGGCAGGACTACAGAAGCATTAGCTGCAGAGTTTGGACCAGTTCCTGAGTTGTTGCCGACACTAACGCTTGTGTGAGGACTTGGTCCGAGACTGGCACCAGGGTCGAGTTTGGGACTTGGAGCAGACATGAGGCTGGGCTTGTGCTCCACGGCGTTGGCGTTCAGAGGGGCGTCGGAGCCCTGCAGAGCACTGGAGGGCTCCCTGCTCTCCCTCTGACCTTGGCCTCCTTGCGACGCCCCACCCCGAGAGGTCTCCTGGGGCACGCTGGGTAACCCCGACCCATCTAGAAGCTGGCTCAGAGAGGTGGGGGCCTGGCTGAGGATGGGAGCGAGAGAGGGCTTCAGGTCCTGAGCTGGGACGGTCTCAACCGCTGCAGGGCCCTGCCGCGCTGCATCCTCCATGGCATCTCTCTCTGTCAGGACACGGGGACCGTGTGCCTCTCCCTGGGGTCGCGGAGCCTGCAGCAGCTGCTGCTCGGCGGGCCCCGCCGGAACATCCTGGCCTGCTTCCGCAGGGTTGCTGTGGGCACCCTGCATGCCCTGGAAGGGGTGCTGAACTCTCTGCGCTTCCAGGGGTACGGGTGGCGCGGGCCCGGGACAGGGGAGAGCCGGAGAGGGACTTGCCGTTAGGTTTTGAGGATTGACTGCAGGTGGCTGGTGAGAGGGAGAAGCAAGGGTAGCTTTAGCCCCCTTCTGCCTGCCTGGGCTGGGGGTCATCTTCCGGCTGGACGCCGGGCTGGATCGTCGGCTGTTGCTGGGGCTAGCTCTTTTGACGGGGCCTCCTCCGACGGGCTGCTTCTCGGCTTTGCCGGCCATGGGCCCGGAGCCGCCGCTCGGGGGGAGGGTCTGCTGCCCGCCGCCGCTACCGCTGTGATTGAGAGAGGTCAGACTGGGCGGGGCCTGGCCGATGGCCTTCAGGGTGGTGGGGTTGAGGCCCTGCTGGTCAAAGCCTCGGTTCAGGCTGGGCTGCCTAGGGGGCAGCGGGATGTTGATCTGCGGGGGGAAGAGGCCAGCGATGGAGGCATTCAGACGCTCGGGCGAGAGGCTGATCTCCGAGGGCTCCGTGCTGGGCGGGCGGTTGGTGGGCGTCACCGGATGGTGGTACGGCCTGGGACTGGCCCGGTTGGGGGTCTTGGGGCGGGAGCTCTGCGGGGTGGAGGGGGCGCGGGGAAGTGGAGGCCGTGGGACGGCGGCATGGGCCCCGCTTGCTGGGGCTGGGGGCTGGGCCCCTGGTGCGGCGGGACGGGCGAGGGGCCTGGCTTCATCAGGTGCGGACCGGGACCCTGGTTGCTCATCAGTCCCGGCGCACCGGTCCCCACCGGGTGACCCGTCTCATGGGCCGGCCGGTCCTGCAGGGCGTGCACTCCGGACACGTCCTCGGCACTTGGCAGCGCGCCCCCTTGTGGCGACTCGGGGAGCGGCATCCTCCTGGCAGGTCCACCCAGCTGTGGGTTCACCATGAGAGGGACCCCCCGGAGCTTGTCCGGGGAAGGCGGGACGCCAGACGAGCCGTGCAGGTTGATCATCGCCGGCATGCTGCCCTGCTGCGAAACGGGCATCCTCTGAGCTTCCGCAGGGGTCACCGGTCCCCTGGGAGGCTGACCTGTCTGGGTGAGCGGCATTCTGCTCTTAGCCTGTTCCTGCTGCTTCATGAGCCTCATCATCATCTGCTGTTGCTGCTGCTGGTGCTGGTGATGCTGCTGGTGCTGTGGCTGTTGCTGTAGCTGCTGCTGCTGTAACTGGTGCAGGTGGAGCTGTGTCTGGCCCTGCGGCATCACCCCTGCCTGGCCCTGCATCTGCTGGTGCTGCTGTTGCTGCTGCTGCTGTTGTTGCTGTTGGAGCTGGTGTTGCTGTTGAAGCTGCTGCTGTTGAAGCTGTTGATGCTGGAGCTGTTGCTGTTGGAGCTGCTGCTGCTGCTGCTGTTGAAGGTGTTGCTGTTGGAGCTGCTGTTGCTGCTGCTGTTGGAGCTGTTGCTGTTGGAATTGCTGCTGCTGCTGCTGCTGTTGCTGTTGCTGCTGCTGCTGTGTGAACTGAACAGGCATCTGCTGTGGCATCCTTTGTTCTCCCAGATGACCAGGAAACCCTTCAACAGAGGAAATTATATTTTAAAATCCACATATTGTGGGCAGCAGTGTAGCATAGTGGTAAGGAGCAAGGCTCATAACCAAAAAGTTGCTGGTTCGATTCCCCACTGGGGCACTGCTGCTGTACCCTTAGGCAAGGTGCTTAACCCAGAATTGCCTTAGTAAATATCCAGCTGCACAAATGGGTAACATACACTAACTGTAACCTATGTAAGTCACTTTGGATAAGAGCATCTGCTAAATGACAATAATGTAATGAACCCTTTTTTGTTGACTGCTAAACTAGATGAAGTGCAGGGGAGGTCTACAAATGCTGCTAACAAATTAGCAAACTTTGGAACAATGAAAAAATTTGATCGTCCCCCATCTCTCCTGAGGAACAACCCATAATTCTTCACGCGTCTCTCACCTGAAGACCTGCTGTTAAAGTCAGGTGGTTTTGTCGTGGCGGGGTCTGTTCCAACTCCCTGAACGGCACTCAGGCCCTGCATCTCTGGCTCGTCCATACTGGGGGGTCGAACATCCGTGAGACCACTGTGCACACAAAGCCAGAAACACTCCACCACCATTCCCCAAACATCAACCTCTAGGAGTCGCTTGGAAATAATCTGTTCTCTAGTGACTGACAGGTGAGATGGCTTCCCCGCTGGGTTGGGCGGCCATGTGCCACCAAACACTGAATGACCTGCACTAATCATGAGGCTACCCACAACACACACTCTCCACTCGCTGAAATTCATCCATTTTACACTTAGAAACATACATTTTAGATGGTTTACAACTCACTGGAATGCACCCTTGATAAGTAAATAAATGTAACATCAGTTTCAAGTAGCCATGAGACATGTTGCACATCAATTTAAACCAAACTGCTCTTTTTGACCAATATGCTTGCTTCTTTATTGAATAAATAATTAATCAATAAATACTATGAACACTACATCTGGGTACATCTGTTCTTGACAGGCTATGTGTTATTATTTACTGGTATGAGAAGTATGCCAAGTGGTTGAAAAATAACCCATTATGTGAAGGGCACACCTGCATATGAGCAAAGTATCAAGCCTCTTGAGTTATCCAGATGTCACCAACACCTCCTACACAGAGCACCCATCTATCATGGCCTTTATAATGCTTATCTATTGCCCTTCCCGTTTAAGACTTAGACAAGACAGTATCTTAAGGTGGTAGCCTTTATATGAGGTCAAAGCAATATTAATGTTTTATGTCCTACATTCTATAACTGAAAACCTGGTTTGGCCTGCCTTACCCTTACCTGAGCACCCCTTACCTAAGCATGTCGTCTGGCTGAGGTCCTGATGCACCGCCGTTAGCGTTGGCCTTCTTTTTCCGTGGTGGCTTCTTCTTCTTGGGTTTGGCCTGGGCGGCAGCAACCTGCTTCCCCCCGGCGCCGAACTGGCTTGCCGAGATGTCGCTCTGCAGGAGATTGACCAGCAGGGGACTGGTGAGTGTGACGTCCTTGTTGCCAGGGAAACCGCCGGCCTGCGCACAGGGGCCACCCATGGCCATCTGGCCGGGAAACTGTGGGTTAAAGGGCAATCCATGACCAGGGAAGTGGCCGTTGCCAACCTGTATGCCCACAGCCATCCCCTGCTGCTGCTGCTGTTGCTGTTGCTGCTGCACCTGGATGTCAGGGATCAGCTGGTGCAGAGGCATATCCCCTGCACCTCCGCTAGCCTCACCCAGCTGCTGCTGCTGCTGCTGCTGCTGCTGCTGGAGATGCACCTGCTGGATCATCTGCTGTTGTTGGCTTTGCTGCTGAAGCTGCTGGTTTTGCTGTTGAAGCTGCTGGTTTTGCTGTTGAAGCTGCTGATTCTGCTGTTGAAGCTGCTGCTGTTGCTGCTGCTGAACTAAATGATGGCCTCCCGGAAGCCTCATCTGAGGCCCATGAAGGCCCAGGGCTTGGGCAGGACTGCTGCTCACAGGAAGCACCTGAGCTTGTGGCCCTTGCTGCTGTGGCTGCTGGGTAGCGGGAGTCTGGAACTGGACCAGGTTGCCCTGCACATTCGGCGAGGGGCCCCGCATCATCTGCCCCTGCAGGACCCCTGGCTGACCTTTGGACCCAAAGCCCTGCTTGTTTCCTTGCATCTGATTGGCCATCATTTGCTCCATCATGGCATTCTGCTGCAGCTGCTGCTGCTGCTGCTGCATGGTCACCTGGTGGCTCTGGTTGGCGAGGAGAGGCCCCTGTCCCTGCATCATTGCCTGGCCCTGCTGGGGCATCATCTGCCTGGGGGGGGCCATCCCCCTCTGGGGATTCTGGATGCCCCCCATCATCTGTCCCGGGTTTACCATCTGGGGCCTGGAGAGGGCAGCCTGGCCTCCACCTGGGGGGCCCTGCACCACTTGTCCCGGGGTGGATGAGACAGGCTGGTGCTGGACGCCCATCATCTGGGCCTGTACCACGCCAGCCCCACCAGTGGCCCCTGCAGGCTGGCAGGTCATCCCGGCATGAGGCCCTGGCACGCTGCCCAGATTAACGCTGGCCTGACCGTGGGAGCCTTGCTGCTGGTGGTTCAGGGCTGAGGGCTGAACCCCTGAAACCAAATATCAACAGATTAATGGAATCATAATTACATTACTGACAGTTACACTATTTATATATTAGTATCCAGGGCGACAGGCTTACAGTTTCTACAGCTAATGTTTCTATGCTTCTGTGACCAATGAACACAGCAAGCTATTTTCTTACAGTTCAACAGAACTAGCAGTCATGGTGTCTATATCTATAGAAGTTTTTAACAGACTAAACAGATACAAGAATATTGTTTCTAAGCTTTTGTTTCTTCAGTTTTTGTTAAAACAGAAAGTGAGCAAACCCCTCCCCTGCCGGCCTCATACAGAAACAGATACCTGCGTGCTGCATGCTCTGGCTGTTCTGCAGCTGGGGGTTGGTGCTAGGCCCGGGAATGGATGCAGCGCTGGTCACCTGACCCTGCATTAAGTTCTGACTGGCTTGCACGTTAGGGAACCCCATGGGCATACGCTTGGGCATGCCTGCAAAGACAGTTGACAGTTTACTGCATTATTTTTATTCAGTGCTCCAAAAATGTGACATATTGCAATAACCACAAAAGAAAGTTTTACAAAAAGAAGGCAAGATGAAGTGAAATGTCTTTAGTCTGTATCTGATCGTCTTCAGGAGTTACTTAGCTATGCCCCCTTTACCATCTAAATCTAAATCTCTGTGGTTTTGTGCCACTCATTTTTGGACTTTTTTGACCATTCAATTCTTTGCTTTGCGTTTGCTGCAGGGACATTCTTATAAAAACAACAACAAAAAACGCCAATAAAAAAGGGAGTAAAATGAGTGGAGCAAAGGGCAATAAGCATACCTCCCATCCCAGGCTGGGGGCCCTGGCCCTGTGGAGGCATTCCCACGATGCCGGGCTGCAGTTTGCCCTGCAGGGCCTGCTGGGGGAAGTTCTGTGGGGTCGTGGGCCGGGGGCCCAGCTGGCCCTGGTTTTGGCCCATCATCGGGGGTGTTCCGGGCGAGCCCTGCTGGAATGGAGAGGGCGAGGACGAGGATGCGGGGGACTTGGCGGCCGGGTGACCCTGGGGAGTCGTGGAGGGTGGCGGAGGTGGAGGTGGTGCCCTTGGGCCAGCCACGCCCGATGGCGGTCCCGGGAGACCCTTGGGCTGGGGGGCTGCGAATGGGTGGCACCCAGCTGCTGCTGCTGCTGCTGCCCCCATGGCAGTGAAGGCCTGGCTTGCCTGCTGGCTGCCAAAGGGGTAGGGAGGTGGAGGGTGGTTGGGCACCTGGACCGTTGCCAGCGAGGGGCGTGGTGCCATCTGAGTTTGGGGGAGCCCCTTCCTCCAGGCAGGGCCCATGGCTCCCTGGCCCAGAGGGGGCTGCAGGACACCAGCGGGGTGCTGGTTCCAGCCTGGTGGCACTGCCATCGGGTTTGAGGGGTTGAACGGCGCACGAGCGCCCCCTAGCTGCGCGTGCTGGGCCTGCTGCTGCTGGAGCTGCTGGAGGGTGGCGGGACTGAGCTGCCGGCCAGCCTGCATGGGGTGCCCCTGGGGTGGCAGCGCGGTCGGGCCGTGGAGGGGCTGCTGCTGCTGCTGCTGTGGTGTGCAGCCATACCTGACAGCACCGGGTCCATCGGATCTGGAGGTCACATCACGTGAAGGTTACTTACTTTAGAGTATTACATTTTGACACTAGCTGAAACTGTTGATTGTGGCAGCACTTTGTCTGTATTCTGTATGGCACCTGTAATTGCAGCAATGAGTGCTATACTGATACAGCTGTGGTCTGACGTCTGCTGTATGTACTGTTGTTCATGTGGCCTTTTATGCACCGCAGTACCTTTTCTTCATAAGTCACTCTGGATAAGAGCGTCTGTCAACTGACAAACTTTAATGTAGGATCAATGATACTAATATACTTCTGTTCTTTTTTTAATGCTTTTAACTTGCCAGAGGGTTGGTGCTAGGCCTGGGAATGTCTTTTGAGAAGTCCAAACTACTTTTGTTATCCTGGCTGTTCGATCAGCAAGCTGCTTACCTGCATGTGTGGGAGGTCGAGGGGCCCTTGTCTGACCCTGCCCACTGACCCCGGGAGCTGCCATACCAGGCCCTGAGTTAGCCATCATCACTAAGGGGTTGTTCATCCGCAGGCCACCTGCTAGAGAGGACAAATTCCACCATCAAAATAAAAAAATCATATTTCATGTGCATTTTAAAATACAGATAAACCTGGGTAGCATCCTTCCTTACGATCCACCGCTGACTTATGTCATGTCTAAAAGGCATGAGAGGAAACCCTCTATGCTGAATTAACTGTACTAAAGCTCTCTTACTATCCCCCATGCAAAGTAACAAGGTAAATCTGTGCTGTTCATATCTGTATCACTGTAAGCACTTCTTTAGTACCATCTTCATGTCCTTCTCAGTGGGAAATCAAATGGCACAGGCCTCAAAGACCATTCATCAAGACTTCTTTGAGTACTGTAAGAACATGTTAACTGGCAGAGTTATTGTTGACAAAAAAATAGCAAATGTAATGTTGGGAAATGGCCACTAACAACAGAGCCACTCATTTGCAACTAATTACAGGGCAGTGATAGCATCATTACAGTAAGGGCAG